GAGTCTTGCTCTAGTGGTATTGATAGTTCAACAGTCAGGAATTGCTGTCAATCTTGCCAATCCAAACATGATGAGGTCGCTGAAGAATCCACTGATTGACATAGTCTATCCTAGAGTCTCTGCCCAGTTTTTCACTGCCAACATATGGCTGAGGTAGTTGTTCTGTCTTCTGTCTTTTCATGGTTAGGGTTCTGAGTCTGGCAGTTCGATTGGGGAGATCCCCAAAGAAACTTTGTCTGAGGTGTTCCCAGACCAGATTCTTATATGTACTAACAAGTACAGGGCCGGCACAGTCCATCGCCCCGATCAGCTGGTTGTTGCAAATGCTGGGTTGGTTGTGTTTCCAGCCTTGTGTTCCACTGGAGCCAATGGGTGTTGCAGTCCAGCCTGATTCTACCCACCACACACTCAGCCCTCACGTAAGCAAGTGTGATCTGCAGCCTAGGCGGAGTGACCCAACAGGGCTGCCCCCTGTCCTGATTTGCCAGTCTGTGTAGCAGACTAGTCCAGTCTGTCCCACATCCCATTCAGCTCTCATACGTGTCAGTGGGCATTGAAACCTAGTTTCATCTAACCAGCTCTGCTATCAAGCCCATACACATGCTGTTGGGTGCCTTTCTATCTAGCCACCCTGTCCTGGCTTTTGTGCCCTCCAGTGGAAGTTGTAGCCCAACAGGGAGGAGCCTACTATTTCCCTTCTCGACTACGCCCACTCCGGATTATTCACTCTCCATGTGGTTCTGTGTTTTATCTTGACAGAATTAGCCCCCAGTGCCAGCTTCTTCCAACTGATGCTGTGGCTAAGCTCAAACAACCCTGACCCACTCCAATTCTTTTTGCACCAGTAGCAACAATCAGCCCAACCTGGCTTTTCCCTGATCTAGTCCACATGAGGCCCACAGATGTTGTAGCCCTGCCTAGTCTGTTCTGCCTCCATCCCCACTTATGCTCTCCAGTGGGAGTAGCTGTCCAGTAGGGGATCCCCCCTGAGTTCCCCCTGCCGGCTCCGGCCCCTTCCTTTCTGATTCTACAGGTCCTGTTACCTTGGCATTCCGAAATGTGTACTAGTTTTTGTCACGACCAAACCTGGCTCGACCCACACTCTGATCTGGTGCTCCGATTCACCAGTGGGTAATGTGAACTGGTTCAGCCTGGTCTGCCCCTAACCCATGCCAAATATATGCCAGTGGGAAACTCTCCATGGCCTGTTCTGGGCTGTTTCCCATTATGCCTCTTGCACTTACCTTCTGGGTCTGTGTCCTGCCAGAGGAGTTGCCCAGGCCCCTCCATCAGAACCCCTCCCAATGTCAGATTTCCCTCATACCTTTGGGTCCATTAGCTAGCCCTACTCAGTTCATCTCCTGTCTTAGCAGGAACAGTGGCTTTTCTTGACTGGCCTTCATCCCAATCTGTTTCTTGCTGTTGGATGTTTCAGCCCAGCCATGGCTCGTCCATACCCACATACAGCTCACAGATGTCCTAGTAGGTGCTAAGACCTAGCCTAGTCCATCCCACATCTACCCTGGTCCTCCAGGACACCAGAAGGTGTTGGGGTCTGACCAAGCTTGGTGCTTCCAGTCCCAGTCCACACTTGTGCTAAGGGAGACTACAACCATAGCCTGATCAGAACGCAGCCCCCAATCCAGCCCACGCGCCCGTTGGTGGGAACCTCAACCCAGTTAGGTGTTCTCTTAGCTCCCCAACCGGGCCTGTTCCCAGCTATCGATCACACGCATGCAAGTGGTTGCTCTGACTCTGCTTGATTCAGCCCCTTACCTGTCCCGACCTCTGCCTTAGACACTGCGGCTTAGCATTCCTGACTCACGCAGACCAGTAGGTGCAAGAGCCTAGCTCATCATGACCTGTGCTCCCTCCTGGTTTCTAGTTTTGCTTCTAGGCTAAGATTTGCTCAGTCCTGCCCAGTATGTCCCATTCCATTACCAATTCACACATTAGGCAGCTGTTGGAGCTACTTTGCCAAGATTATCTGACCCCCAGTTCTGGACCACATGTTCACCAGTGGGAGCTATGATTCGCCAGGGGGCGTTTCCCACGTTCTTCCACTTGTTCCAATCGCAGACCCAGTTCCCGACATGCCCTTGGGTTTTAGCCCGATGGCCAGTGCAATGAACAAAGTTTAGTAGAATGATGTGCCAAGCTTGCTGCAAGACACGCGGGTGTGCGGAGAAGGTGACAGAAAGATGAGTTAAGAGGGAAATAAGAAATAACCTTATTGTTTAATCCAGGCCGAGAGAGAGAAAGAGAAGAAAGCGAGAAGAGAGTGTGTGCAGCCATCCACTGCTTCAGTACCCAATGGCTACGCAGTCTGTGGCCTGTCTAAGATGAGATCAGAGAGCTGGAATGACATCCAGGATTCCCATGCAGGTGGCAGGAGCATCCTCTGGGAACCAAATGAGAAGTGCAACAACTGAGATGAGAAGTGAAACTTTGATCTGCTAAATTGGCATCATTCAACAGGGGCCTAACCTTTCTCAGTAAAGAATGATTGTTTAAAATATTGCTATGAATTTCATAAATGAAACAAAGCCACCATTAAGGATAGCCATTCCCTCCTCCTCTCCTGCCCAACAGAAAGATTAAGATGGATGGCGAAGGATCAGAGGTGGTGGACCCTCTGAGAGACGCAACCACAGTGACGGCTGGTACTAGGTAGTTACTGGTTACTATCACTCCTTTTTTTGGTCAGTTTTTACTTTTAAATTTTGATATATGTACATAACTGATCAGAGTGGGACAGATTTAGGGTTAGGGAAAAGTAAGTGTGATCATTATTTCCAAATTTTCTATCTCTTCCTCATTCTGGGGGAAGGAGAGACATAACAGGAGAAATACAACGTTCATTGCACACAACAGTCCACGTATGCTTTTGGTCAGGAAAGACTGCCTGACAACACTGTGTCCATTGACAGGAGATGCTGTAAAGACGGAGCTGAATATGAACAAAGTTTAATAGTGTGATGTGCCATAATCTGCTATTAGACACGTGAGTATGCTGAGAAGGTGACAGAAAACTGAGTTAAGAAGTAACTAAGAAATAAGGTTAATTGTTTAATCCATGCTGTGAAAGAGAAGAAAGACAGAAGGGAGTGTGTGCAACCATCCACTGCTTCTGTACACAAAAGCTACACAGTCTATGGTTTGTTTTCGATGAGGCCAGGGACCTGGAATGACACCAAGGAAAACCATGCAGGTGGCAGGAGCATCCTCTGGGTACCAAATGAGAAGTGGAACAACTCAGATGAGAAGTAGAACTCTGATCTGTTAAACTGGCATCATTCAACAGGGGCCTAACCTCTTTCATTAAATAATTTTTTTAAGTAATGACTGCAAATTTAATAAATCAAACAAAGCAACCATTACGAATAGCCATCCCCTTCTCCTCTCCTACCCAACAGAAACATTAAAATGGATGGCTCGGAATCAGAGGTGGTGGACCCTCTGAGAGACGCAACCACGACGAAGGCTGCTACTGGGTAGTTAAGGGTTACTATTCCTCCTTTTTTCAGCTTTTAGGTTTTTAATTTTGATAAATGTACATAATTGGTCAGGGTAGGAAAGATCTGGAATTAGGGAAAAGTGAGTGAGATTATGGTTTCCAAATGTTTTATTTCTTCCTGATTCTGGGGGAAGGAGAGAAACGACACAATGAGAGAATCCATACTCAGCCTACAAACAGCCCCAGTACCCAAGGATGGAGAATGGCCCAATATCAACCTATGGTCCCGATGTGGAGCATTTTCTGAGGGTTCTGACCAAGTGGTATGGATAGTTTTGAAATGTTCTCAATCTTGCCGATCCAAAGATGAGGAAACACTCCCACTGTCCATTGACTAACATAATCGACCTTAGCATCTGCATTTGCCCAGATTTTTGCTGTCATTGTTTGTCTGGAGTAGTTCTCCAATTTGTTTTTGTTCTTCTTCCCCTGTTGTGGTACCAGCTGTCCTCTGCAGACTCCAATGAACTGCAGTATGCTCCAAGTGCATAAGGGCCTGCCACCCACTGCTCTGTCTTATCCAATGAGGAGGACCTGTTCTCATAGGGAGGCCCTAGGTCTTAGCACACGTAACCCAGACCTGCCAGAACCCCTCGCCTGGGGCTCATGTATCTGGTACTCATTGTAAAAATGATTCCAAGAATCTGGGCAAGGCAACACATGCCCTGCTGGACCCCCAACCAATGGCCCCCAACAGTTTAACCCTCTGTGCATTTGTAGGGACCTGATTTAGAAACGAAGCAATTGAGACTTGGCAAGAACTCTGATATGATATATTGGCATCATCCAGCAAGGGCTTAACCTTTTTTGGTAAAGATTTTTTTAGTTTTATTGGACAGGCAATCAGATTTACAAAGAGAGACAGAGAGAAAAATCTTCCATTCTCAGATTCACTCTTCAAATGGCCACAATGGCCAGAGTTGAATGTATCCAAAGTCAGGAGCCAGGAGCATCTTCCATATTTCCTACATACATGCAGAAACTCTTGGGTTTGAACAATCCTCTGCTGATTTCCAAGGCCATTACCACAAAACTGTATGGGAAGTGGAGCAGCCTAGACAAGAACTGGCACCCACATAGGATCCAGACATTTGCAAGGTGAGGATTTAGCCTTTGCGGCAGGCTCAGGAATATGATTAGGTGTCACTAGACTGGACAAAGATGCATAAATGTATCTCCAACTGCTTTATTCTAGGAACATACAAAACTACCATCATGCCATGGACCCAAAGAAATCACCTTGGTGGTGAATGTAGTCCATTACTGTAAGAGAAATACACCATATCATTTTATGACTCAGAAAGGAAGTCAAGGTGGTTTAATTTTAAAAAAAGATTTTGGAAAAGTGAAAAATGAACAAGGAACACAAGTGTGAAACTCCAAGAGAAATGAAAACGTCAGAAAGGAAGAAGCAAAATACAAATTGTAGAACAAGGACAAGACCTCAGAAAAGGAGCAGAAGTGCAGGTGGATGAGGGAGACTCTATTTGGCACATCTGCAAGCCCTGAGTTTTAAAGACCTGCTTTGTTGACTATGACTTGAAAATGGCCATCGGGAGATTTCCCTCAGATGTGTTTTCACAGCCCTCTGGATATCATTATTCCTCAGGCTATAGATGAAGGGGTTCAGCATGGGCGTGACCACGGTGTACATCACCGAGGCTATGGCTGTTAAGTGTGAGTTTTGTGTAGCAGCTGAACTGAGGTACACACCCAGTGCTGTTCCATAAAACAAGGAAACAACAGAGAGGTGAGAGGCACAGGTGGAAAAGGCTTTATACTTCCCCTTAGCCGATGAGATGGCACGGATGGAGGAGGCAATCTTAGAGTAAGAGTACAGGATCCCAGCCAGAGAACCTCCTCCCAGCAACACAGCACCAAGATACATCATGAGGTCATTGAGAAAGGTGTCAGAACAGGCTCTGTGGACCACCTGGTTCAACTCACAGAAAAAGTGAGGAATTTCCACGTGTGTGCCGAAGCTCAGCCTCAGCACCATTAAGATGTGTAACAATGCAGGCAAGACACTGATGGTCCAGCACAACAGAACCAAATGCACACAGAGATGGGGGTTCATGATGACTGTATAGTGCAGAGGATGACAGATGGCCACAAACCGGTCATAGGCCATCATGATCAGGAGAAAATTATCCAGACCTCCAAATAGGAGAAAGAAGAACATCTGTGTGATGCAGCCTGCATAGCTGATGGCTCTGCTCTGTGTCTGAATGTTGACCAGCATCTTGGGGACGGTGGTGGAGGTGAAGCAGATGTCCACCAAGGACAGGTTGGCGAGGAAGAAATACATGGGCACATGGAGGTGTGGATCAGAGAGGATGGCCAAGACAATGAGTAGGTTCCCACTGACAGTGACCAGGTACATGGAGAGAAATACCATGAAGATAAGAGGCTGCAATTCTGGATCTTTTGAAAGGCCTAGGAGAAGGAATTCCACAACCCATGTGTGGTTCCCTGCTTCCATGTCAGCAATGTAACTACCAAAATGTGAAAAAATGCGTAGATGTGAGCACTAGTTACACACTGCCAGAACCATGATGTGTGATTTTCGTATCAGTCTGTTCTCATAATGCCTCTGTTCTCTGGTGTAGAATTCCCCTCCGATAATCCTCAGTTTTCATGAGGCTGTGCCCACTGCAGCTACAATGATGCCCTTGAGCATAGGATGTGGAATCTTCATGTTCCAGACACTGTTTCAGCAGTGTGTGAGCAACGCTGAGACACAAGCATTCCTAAGAGTGAAGAAGACAAGACAAAGCATGCAACACATCACTGGATGCACAGCTCTGCTGGAAAGTAAAGAAATCAGGCAAGAGAGCCAGGGTAAATCAAGTTCTACTTTCCTGTATCTCCAGATCAAGCAAACCCAGCAAACAATGTGGCATTTGGACAAAGATTAAGATCTCAACGAACATAAAGCAGGTGCACAAAAGTGTCTGAGAAATGGAGTATCTGACAAGAGCCATGGGCCATGCAGAGTCATGTTGGAAGGGTTCATTTCAGATGATTAATGACACTGCAGTAGATTCCAAAAACAAGGGTCAGTAACAGGAAAGGGCTGAGAGATAGATTAGAGAATATGAGGCAGGCAGTAGGCTCATCCCCATGACACTTCAAAATGGAGGGTGTCTTTCTGTCCAAAGTCACTGCAGTTCATTTTTCTCTGATGAGCTGCAAACAACTTCCTAGAAGGGAAAATGGTGACGCTATATTTCTACTTCTTGTGTATGTTGGCTACTGTATTATGTGTGATATTTGAGGACACAGGTGTTCCTAAATTAAAATATATCCATCTTAAACAAAACATATCGTGAAAAGAGAGAAGCTCTCAAACACTGTGCTTTAGCAGCTTGTATTGCCAGTGGGAATTGCACAGCCCCATGGGATCTGTGCCTCACCTCCCACTGTCCACGAGTGAGAAAAATCACAACCTTGTGAAACGGTCAGCATTCAAAGGACAGTGTAGCCTTTTCGGCATGAGAAAGTCAATCAACCATGAACTTGAGCCAGTGCATGCTGGAGACTGTGTGATGAGCCTAAGTGCCTTTTTTTCTTTCACTGTCTTTGCTCACCACCACACACATGTAGACACACACACAGTAATATGCATGTGCAGACCAGGCATATGGGAGTGTCAGGAACTTAGTGGAAATTCACACTTCTCTTACTGCTGTTTCTTCTACCATCTCCTTCAAGCCCCTGTGACACATAGTTGAACACCATGGTCCCCTTCTTTATTAAGCATGAACTCTCTACCCATCCCAGTCACATCATTGGAGAGGAGCTCTGTGGGGCTGTCATTGTCGCTCCCACTGGCCACATTTCTATGTGTCCATTATCTGCATTGTACAGAATTTTTTAAGGGCCCAATAAATAGAACTGTCCCTAAGGAGGATCTAACAAGATCAGGGAACTCTGGAGAGATCATTAGAAGGACTTTCACTGGTGTTGGAAAAGTGCCATTCCAATTATAAATCCTTAATGCCCAGCAGAAAAGAGCAGAAGGTTCAAACTCAAGCATCTAATGGAACAAAATGATGGTATCCTAGCAGCATCAAGAAAAGTTTGGAATGAACAATATGACGGGAAAAAATGAGCAGAGAATAAACCAGCAATTCCATGAAGGCAACACACAAAGAATAGCAATATTAGACTTGGAATTTTTTGTGTCAACCTGAATCTTTTCCCATCTATCTCATACTATTGGAGCATTTGGTCTCTATGAAGTCTGACAGAGGCTGAGGGCAGGCCTTCATTGTCCTTTGCAGGGATCTCATATTTGTTAGCCTATTATTTTGAGTTTTTATTTTCTCTTGTCTAATAAACCCATTGAGCACTCTCTGGTCCTACTTCAGCCACAGAGTCTCTTCTGCACACATTCTTTTCACAATTAACTACTTCATAATTTAAATGAAATAACATTCTCCACACCATGCGTCCCTCAAGACATTATATCACAGGCATTTCCTTAAATATGTGGTATCTTCTCTTTGCTACTAGAAGGGCTAAATGAGCAGCGGCCTTAACACTACTTCTTTTCCAATCATGACATCATCCAGTGAATAGGGGTGCATAAGACAGAGACAGATTTGAATAAGGAAATGGCAGGAACAGGAGAAGAATCAAATCATTATGTTTCTCCAAAAATGTTTTGAACAAAAGAAAGTCTCCAACATGAACTGCATAGCAACAGTTTAACACAAACATGTATTCATAAATCAATTATTTATTATCTGATTACAATATATGCAACATGGAATATTCTGGCATAGAACACATACAATGTTAAAGTTGATTGTTTTGATCAATAATTGTCTTATATATTATATGGGCATTTAATCTCTTGCAACTTTATTTTAAATTTATTAATTAAAAATATTTTTCAAATGTAATAGGGTTTCACATATGTAATATACTCTTCCTATGTAGATATTCTATGTGTATATAATATTCTTTCTTTACATCAGGGATATTATCTCTCATCATGTGGGGTTCATGACAACAAACATACAGGGAGGAGATTAAGGTAGAAAATTCAAGACAAAATTGAGCCCATAGAAAAACAGTGTTACAATTTAGAGAGCAAAGTTTTAAATGTTTCATAAGTTCTAGCACAGGTGGCTCTCTATCTACAAAAACACAGAGTGGGTCCGTACCTCACATATCATTAAGGTGATCACAAGAGCTAGAGACTTTACTGTGGTGTCTGTAACAAGCTAAGCGCCTCTGACAAGGCTGGCATCCCTTATCAGAGGTGCACTTTGAGTCCCAGCTGCTCTGCTGCAGGTGCAGCTCTGGGGATGCAACTGGGAAGGCAACAGAAGCTGATCCCAATCCTCATCTGAGTGGAGACCCAGATGGAGTTCCTGGCTCTTGGGAAGGCAGCAGAATCTGACCACAGTGCTTAGATCTCTGTCTTCCTCATGGAAGACCCAGATGGAGTTCCTGGCTCCTGGCTTCAGCCTGACCAGCCCTGGCTGTCGGACTAAATGGAGGCACTCACTCTCTCCCTGTTTGTTGCTCCTTCTTTTAAACAAATAGATGAAAAACGTGTTTGAAAAATGTAGAATCAGACATCTCATGGTGATAATGAATGTAGGTGAGCATGTAGAAAGAAAAGATAAGCTCTTGCGCTGAGCAGATCCTCCTGACTTGGACGAGAACTCATGTTGTTTAAGGATTATTTTCATGTATTTGTATAGACAGTACATGAGTATTTGCATGGGACATAAGAGTATTTTTAAGACTATGAGAGGGATGGGTGTTTTGCGCAGCAGTAAAGGTGGGCGTTTCAAGGTTTTTATCTTTTTTTCTCCCGATGATGACAGTTATAATTAATTTTAAATGTTTTTTAAATTTTAAGGTTTCACAACTTTGAACTTAATTTATACGAAGTTATAATATCTAATGTATTTTTGGAGCACAGGGACATGCTACCCTTTCTCCCTTCCCCAGTCCTACACTTCAACCATTCTGAAATTTGAAAAACAAGATAAAAATAATGAAACAATCTCTGACAGTGTAATTTCATAAGATGCTTATTAGGATCAAACATGCTAATAAAAATGAATTTGTTCTTTAATCAAATGATAACAGTTGGTTTTAAAATTGAGAATTATGGGGTATAACTTTTAGAAAGAGATGTGATCTCCAGAAGCTGACAGCCTCCAACAAGTAGCAGGCATACAATCACAAAGGAAAAATATACATACCCAGAAAATTGCAGTGCAGGCAGCATCCGTCCAACCCATACATATCTTCAGGTGCACCTCAAAGAAAATGCAAAAAGATCAAACTTTCACAGAAAGAAAGAAATTAAGAGCTAATGTTTCATGCACATGGTTTCTTAAAAATCATGCAAAGTCAGTGTTTAACATAACATTGATTCTTCCATGAGATCTCTGAAGATCTCTTGGAAATATAAGATGAAATTCATGAATGCACCCCTTTCACCACTTAATTTTGTTTTTGCCTTCTGTGAATCTACGACATAATAGAAGCTACAATGTGTGTGACACAAGAACTGCCTCTGCCGCTAGTTTGGACTTTGCTTATTAACATCAAAGCATATTCACTTAGACCCATCTCACAGACAAAATGACATGCTCTTATGCCCGTGGACAGCCCTCCACAGCCAACACCCTTATTCTACAGCCCTTCGTTGCACACAAAGCATTGGAAACACCCCTTCTTTGTGACCTGTCCCATTCCCTCTTGGCATAGGCTTCAGTTACATTCACTTCATGATCCCCCATTGACCCTGCCTTTCTGAATTCTGTGGACAGGTCCCTATTCATCCTCAGGCAGAAGCACTTCACTGAGATCATGACTCAGGCAAGCAGGCCTCCCTGCATCCTGCCCCCTCTTGGCCCAGGTCTATATAGTGTGACTCTCAGGTGGCCACAGGTGAATGCTCCTGGCTGCTGTCTTCTGAGCCTTATCTGCACTACCTTCTGGACTTTCAGACTTACCTGGAGGTGTCTCAGAGAGGCAAGTTTTAAGCGGAAATGCAAAGTCTTCTGTGCAAGCTTCCAGATGGAAAGGGGAACATGTTCCCCAGTGAAGTCTGTCCCTGAGCTGGACACAATAAATCCCAGACAGCCAAGATGGTGGTTCCTGGCAGGAGAGCTGTGCACAGGTCCTTATGCCTGCTCATCAGACACGTTTCTCTGGGGGACTTCAACCCCTGCACGCATCACCGCCACAAGGGATGCTATTCTGCACAACAAGGCAATTTTAGCCCTATAGATTTGTTGTTCCCAAGACACAAGCATCAAAGTCAGGCAAATCAGCTATTGATAGTTTTGTATCCTTGGGACATTTTTGCCTGTTAAAACAAAATCACATAATCACATATATCAAATCACAGACCTACTACACTTTCTCCCAAACCTAGAAATAGAAGCTGGTCTTGATCCTGTCCCTGGGATCACCAAAGCGTGGGTGTGTGGTAGAGAAACAGGC